GGGAGGTATTTATTTCGGTCGTCACAAACACTGCCTCAACCATTTGATGGATTTAAAGTTGGATAGAAGCTCAGCTTCGAATTGTCGAATCTTATCGTCATTGTATGCTACATTCAACTGTTTATTTCTAATTGTAGTTTTGTTAAGCAACATAAGATTAGATGAGAAAGCGTGGATCTTACCATTAATGAAACTCAGAGTTACCCAGTAGGTATATGAGATATGCGTGTTCGGGTTTTTCTCTTTTTCTTGTTTTCTTTCAGTGCTGGGGTTATCTTGCTTTTGCTGTAGGCATATTGCATATGTTGTTTTGTATTTGTATATTGATTAGTGGCATTTTATGATGTCACCTTCCAAGTTAAATTAAACTTCGTTATAATAAAACAGTGGGTCGATTTTAATGTTTGTCTGTGAAACAATTGTTTTCGAGTGGAACTGTAGCTGAACTTCAAAGTAACATAGTGTTTTTTAAGGATGTCTATTTCATGGCAATTAAAGATTAAGAGATGCAATAATTATGTGGGAATTTAGTTATCGCGGTGAAATGACAATTTGAAATTGCAGGAGATTAAGGGCACCAAACTTCCAGCATGAATGGTACTCTTAGTCTTGACGAAGTAAGGGGAGTACTTGGATGGGAAGTATGTTTCCTTTATTAGTTTATTGGATTACAGCGACATTGTGTTTTTCCACTTTCTCGTCTTTATCATTGAAAAGGTGAGGAGCGAGCTTAAGAAAATATCTGGCGTATTTGTTTCGGTATCATTCCAACAGTGGATGGTGTTTGTTGTTTTGTAAAATTGCTTGTTGTGCTTGTCAAAATGTCAATTCCTTGTTTGCTTATGACGCAGTAAAACGCAATCAAACTAAAGTATATGCACATATTTTATATTTCATTTTATAGCTGTAAAACAGTATTTTATAGTAGTTTGTTCTTGAAAAAGCTTCACGAGAAGCGTCGTAAAATAAAAAGTGACTCAGAAATAAGTGAAATTTAAACGGAGAATGCCAACATAGTTTAACTCACTGGAATATATTTCTGTTTCGAGATGTTTTGGTACTAACATAACCCGTTCGCGTCCATTTAACTCTTGACCTAAATCATACGTTAGCCACCACTCCAAGATGTTAACGATTTTCAAATAACTCATTTCCGGTCTCTATGCAAATAAACCAAAACAGTTATCGTTTTTACTCATCTGTATTATTTTCTAGTTGTCGGAAAAAATTTGAAATATTTCTCATTTAAAACCTGTAATATATTAATTATGGAGTAATTAGTGAAATCATAAGATGGAAGTAATTATTTACTGGTTGACAGCCGAAAGTTTTATGCATAAAATTGTTATACGGCTAGAACTAGAAAGATAATAACACAGCGCACAGTAAATCAAAATTACTGCGAAGGGTCCATAATTGGTGACACTGATCGGTGAACAGTACAAAAACAGCAATTAATGTACTTTTTTATAGAATTCATTTTAAGTAAAACAAGAAAAATAAGTTATGAAATCATATTTGATCTATACAAATTTGATTTTATTGAATTTGCGGAGTTTCGAGTAATCTCATTGGAGTGCCCAACATGTCACCGCCATTCCTGTCATTCGATTCACTTTGGAATGCCGGTGGTTTGAACAGCTCTGAATGATCCTCTTCCAGGGTATCCATGCTGGCTGGTGTTTCGCTCGTAGCGGGTTCTGCAATACTCGGAGCTTTTAATGCTTGGAAGATTTCCTCAGCTGAGTGCATTATCATTTCCATGACCTTTCCCATTTACCTCTTATGGTAGTTCATATCTATCTTAAAGTTTGCTCCATCACAATTCGTTAAAAAAAACCTTGAATGAAATTGACTTGTGGTGCACTATCATCTGGCTTTACAAGCAATCCAACCTCGTCATTTGCAACTACTGGCGCATCACCAAAGCCATCTTCTTCAGTTGAATGCTGAAAAAGGATTGATAATAAATCTTTCTATTCTGTTCAATCACCAATTAATTAATTATCTTACCTCTGGTTCAACTGGTTCAATATTAAGACCATCGTTCTTCATTGCTATTTCTTGCTCTTTATCAGGAGAGTTGGTAATTTCACTTTCATGAACTCCTTTGTCAAAAAAACTACAATTTTAAAGTTTGCATTAAGTGTTTTATATCAAATTCAAATTCACGAATAGACTTCAGTATATTAAAAATAACTAACAAAAACAATTTTTTTAATGGATTTGAACTCATTTTTGTCACAGAAATGTTAACATTTATCAAGAAGGAGAGAAATGAGATGTACTTGAAGAAGGTTGATAGAGATTCCGATGAGTTGCCTGAATTGTTGGCTATTGTTGTTGCTTCGGTACTGGCAGCAGCAGTTGCTCCAGCAATCTCTTCCGAGGTTTGCTCTGCCACCACTTCAACCGGTCGTCTCGGGAATGTATCAGCGATCATTAGTACCGGTATTTCAGCATCGACATTCTTCTCTTTCTATACAAGAGCAAAATGTAATCTGTTACTTTTTCTCTATGTTAAGTGTTAATTTTACAAATTGAATTAACTAAGTACTACTCTATCAAAAGACCAAACATTATCACTGGTCTCTAATTCACAACTGTATGCTGCTTACTTCCGCTCGTTGTTCTGCTTCCAATCGATCTTGCTCTATTTGCATTCGAAGAGCACGATGTTGCAATTCTCGAAAGATCTCGTCTGAATTAATTTGTGCTGCTGGGATCACACTTGGAACTAAAGGTTGTACCATCACCGCCGGTAGGACGGTCTGTTGTGACATCTGCTGTTGTATCTAAAATATGAATACAATTAATAAGATTATCTTGAGAATTTTCTTCGAAAAATATATCGTTAATTGATTCCTTCCGTCCATCTCCCAACATTTCTTTTCATCTGTCTTTCGTTTAAATTATTGAAATTTTGCACTATTTTAGCAAATTGAACTTAATCATTTAAAGAAATAGTTGATGGTTAATGAACAAAAATCTGCTCATTTAAATTAGTCCTTAAAAAATTAATATAAAATTAAACACACCTGTGCTTGTGATCGTAACTCTTTGAAGATATTATCACGGTCCGGGGTACCATCAAGTGTCATTGATATTGGCTGAAATGCAATGCAGTATTTAGTTCAGTAGAATTGTGAAAACTACAATCGAATTTTAAAAATATCATTGGAAAAATAATGGAATTTTTCGAAAGAAATACGACAGATATGTAAAATTTACTTGATCAACAACAGGTACAGGTATTTTCTTCTGCTCCAAATCAAGCCTGTAATTTATGTACTTCTATAATTGATTTAGTAAAATGATAGGAGAACTGAAAAAGAAGGCCATTATAATCAAATGGTCAAATGAAGAACTCTTCCATTTTCCCTTACTTCTTCCTCCTCTCACTTTTTAAATTACACTTTTCTGAGGAAAAGATGTTCGAATTAAATTAGAAACATTCATACAATTATATGAATATATTTTGAATGCATATTTTTCTTGCATTTCATGAAAAAATCAAACATATCAACAAATACCACTCAAATGAAATGATCAAATGGAAAGAAATAAAGTTCAAAGTTTACATCAAAACTTATGCACCTATTGATTGTATTATCAGGAATTTGCACTGGTGTAGTACTTGGCTTTTCTGGATTTGATCCGATAACTTGTTGAATTATTGGCTCTTCTCTGTTCAACATCTGTTAAATTAAAAAGTACATTTCAATATTGTTAATATAACAATATTTATCATTCATTTCAGGAATTAATTTCTAAATAGAATTTAAATCACCTGTGGTGGCATCAATTTGAGTGGCATTATTGCCGGTTGTTGTTGTTGTTGTTGTTGTTGTTGTTGTTGTTGTTTGAGAATCATGTAGGGATGCATGGGCGGAATTCTGGGTATTATCATGGGTGGTGATATCATCGATATCATCGGCATGTTACGCTGATTTGCTTCCACGGGTGGTGGTTGCACATTATTCATTAACATCACTGACGGTGGTGATGGTGGTGTCATATGCATTCGTCCAAATGGAAATATTGGCAGCACTGATTGGAGTTGTTCAAGTTGTGTTGGTTCTTGTTGTTCTTGTAGCTGAAGTCCCATAATAAATTGTGAAATTTTACGCTCTGCTACTTCTTCACGTTCTAAAATTTTCATCTTTCATCTTTAAATTATCCTTTCATTACATTCATCTTTTTGTGCTCGCTCATATTGCGAAGGAATGTTTATGAGTGACAAATATATTGATTAATTTCAATCAGATTAACGTTAATCATTCAATTTATTCCATTGAAGTGAAAATTTGAATGCTTACCTCGTTCTAACTCAGCTAACATTCGTCTCCTGAACATCTCACGGCGCAATAACCACTCTCGTATTGCTCGACGATAGCTTAAATATTAATTTCAAATGATTAAAATATGAGACATTCTAGGCAATCCTTACTGCACCGATTCCTATTTTCCATGTCTTATTTGCAATCGCTCTGTGCTTCACTGCTAATGAATTATTGAAATATAAAATAAACTCATTAAATTTCGTATAATAGTGAAATAATTAAGATTACAATATGCTAGAATTTAATTAGCAAAAATTGTAAATATCTTACTTCACCAACTCCCACTCTTTCATTTCCATCTGTGGTACAAGTGGAACTGAAAACAAAGGTAGTTAAGTTATATTTCAGTAAAATCAATTTCGAACTTATAAGATGAAATCAACATGTTCTTTATATTAAACTTACTTAATCAATCCCAGCTTGCTAAAAAAAATTTCTTTTTCACAATAAACAAAAGCATTTGGTTTGGTTTAATATATTTCAGCTCTCATTAGCGTAGAAATGTGCTTGGATAATAAAGCGGAAAATATACCTTGTGATTGAGCTACAGTTTTTGTTGGTGATATAACTGATGACGGTAACTCATCTAGATTATTTCTTTTTTCTGAAGTTCTTAGACAGTCAAAATACATTTGTATGTCAGTCAGTCATTTAATGGATTAAGTCATTGCTAGTTCAGGCTCGATGTTAGTTCAACTTCAAGTTTGTTTGTTTGCTTGTTTGTTTTTAAAATAGCTAACCATTAGGTGCAATTTCAGGCTTCATCATCATATTATCAGGTATTCTACCGTTATTTTGAACAACAGCGACTTGTTGAACACCAGGAATTTTGAGTAGAGTTGCAATCTAAAATCATTAGAGTTAAATTCAATTTCTCTAAAACGAAATAATGCAAAAGGAAACATATAGACAGTTTTGGTCGGTCGAAAGATTATTTTAAAAAAATACAAAGCGATACAATTTTATTATCGCAAAAAGAATATATTGAAATAATTTCACAACTGATAATCTGAAATAGGATTTCCTTACCGCTTTCATCGCTTCGAAACGGTTAGGTGTCGGACCATCCGGTTGTTTCATTTCTCCATCATCATTTGCTGTCATTTCGCCATCCTGATTTTCGGTGATACGATTGTCTTGAATCGTGTCCCCATTCTGATTCATCATTCTATCCATTTTTTCCGGTGCATTTGATGAATCAAATTTAGGCATCACCACATGTGTATCCTCCTCCGCCATATCATATCTACCAGGTCGTTGTACCCCTGGTGATGTCGATCCAGTTACAGTAACTTCACTTGACTGAAAAAGTAAATCAGAGTAATGCCCCTATCAAAACATACTTTTAGAGTCTGTGACTAGCAATTATCTTAAATATACTTTGCATGGAAACAATGTTGAATGCAATCGCATCAGACAACAAGTACATTCCAACCAATACATTTTAGTTTCAGTAAGATTTTTGACCTTTGTTAGTTTCACTAAGGGATGCTCTGACCTCTCGATCACGCAGCTCAAATCAAATTATGACTATAATATTTCTATATGCATCCAAACTATTGCCACAAATTTATGTAGTATGCGTAAAATGAATGAAAAGAAAATGTCATTACTTCTTTTATGGGCTGGAAAGATTTTTGTTAAAATATTGTTAAAATATTTGTCTAAGATAGATGCTACCAGTGCAAGACATGTTGCAATTATTAGTTGAATAAACTTGCATTTCTTGAAAAATGCATTTTTTTTAAATTTTTCTTTCATTTCTGCATTTCTTAAAAGATTAACAGACGCAAAATTGAAAAATGAGAAAGGCGAAGATGTACGGTGATATTTTTTGATCAGTATAGTAATTCCATGCTGATTGCATATATAAATTAAAACAATCGTCAGGCACATTATCATTTCCTTTTTGTTTGCTTTGTTTTTTTTGTCTAATTTTTGAAAAAAAAGCGCATTCTGAAGAAATATATATATTTATGAATTAATTGAAATAAAAATTTGAAAAGAGAAGAAGAAACTTACAACAAGATGATGGACCCTTTTGTAGAAGAAATCGGGAATCATATAGAAGAGAAATGAAATGGTCATTAGGGATATCAAAATGATGAGTATATGAGATGTTCCATATCTCTTCTTGGCTACTGAAATAAAATTTTTGCCCAAATTAAACGGATCAAATGACAAGCTTAAGAATGAGTTCAAAATTATTTTGAAAAATCAAGATTTTTCTTCCTTTTATTCTTTCATTAAAAACACACACATTATTAAAATTTTTTTTTGATTGTTCTGACAATTTTAAAAATTTTGTTTTTTTCAGGGAGAATAATTAAATGAAATTTCATACAATCAAAAATAATTTTAATATCATTCATTATGAATTTACCATTGTAAAAATGGGCTCAAAAATTAAGCAAATTTGAAGAGCCATTCAACAGAGACAGATTTTTAATAAGACATTTAAAATTCAAAAATTCTTCCGGAAAACATTACTGGTTTGATTTTTATTGTTATTATTAGTGATGTGAATGAAATATTTCACATTGTGAAGAGAGGAAATTTGGGATAAATGAATAAATTATTTTTGCGAAGAAAGAAATGCGTAGTGAAGAAATGGACATCAGAGAATTTAAAAAGACAGGAATACCGATGGATGAGATTGGAAGAGTGACCGGATAGAGAGTAGCCTGTGGTGTGGTGGACGATATTGTGATTCCATCCAGTTCTTTCGGCTTTTCATCGCCTTCTTTCACATTCGGACTTAATGCAAAAATCTTTGTCATCTGTAAAAAAGAAAACAGGAATTTTAATTATAAAATAATGATTTAAATCTTTATTATCATAACCGAGGAAGGTTGAGAAAGTTGAAAAGTTGTAAAAAAATTAATAATGATAGAACATTTTAAAATGAAGACTGCGAAATGTGAATTGTTCATCTTCAAAGGTACATCTTTCCCCGATTGAAAAATTCAAAATGTGATCAACTTTTGGCGAAAAGGTTCAAAATGCAGTTAGATTTCAGATTGCAATCGTAACAATATCGGGACTCAATTACAAATTTCTCTTGCGTGTCAATTTCAATCACAGAATAAATAAAATTGTCTTTTTCTCTCTACGAATCATTACACCTTGAAATCGGAAAAAAAAACATATTTTGATAGATACTCTTTTTAAATAAGAAAAGGATTTTTTTTCAAAAAAATTCAGCGGACTACATATGAGAAATAAATGTTGGAGAGATGGGTGGATGGGATGGAATGAATGGTGAAAAGTTTGTAATTGTCGCTAAATACGAAAAATGTTTGTTATTTAAATGCATTCGCTAAATAAAAAAAGAAAAACAATTTATTAAAAAGTAGGAGAAGACACAAATTAATTGGTCTGTTTAAAATTATTTGAAATTTGTGATATGTTGAGGAGAAATAGTATTACTGTAACTCAATTATTTAGTCCGGTAAATATAAAGGTTTATTCGTATCACCGATTGCAACTGCTATTCTTTTGATAAGTGATAGATGAATGATTAAATCGTTTATTAAGATATAGTCTTCAGTTCATAGGGAGAATGATAAAGGTTATATATCGAAGATTATTTCTAACTCAGGAAAACTTTTTAACTATTCGAAAATCGAGATTAGATAATCTTTCACACATTCATTACTCAATAACTTATAATGTCATTAATGATAAGGAAATAATACAGTACAGAATAGTTGAACTACAACAGATTAAACTTCACAACATTCCAATACAGTAATAACATCAAAGAGAGACCCTAAAACAAATTTTAAACGATTGACAGATTATTGCCCTCTCGTATGAAACGCTCAATATTACTGATTAATTAGCTTTACAATAATGCATTAAATTTGGATAAGAATTTATTAGCTTTATTCACCTGAACAGCTTTTTAGTGTGGCACAATTGTCATAGATAAAGTTGGTTTGATTTGCTTTATAGCTGATCACTTTTTTCAATTTTATCCTATATAATGGAATGAGAAGTAAAGCGAATCGAGTGAATTATAGGTAAGTAAGATGGTAAAGTTATAGGATCTTCTCAGGTAAGAAAAAGTTGATAATCAGGAAGATTAACATCACATTTGATGACGAGAACAACGACGACGAATGTTATAAGGGAATACGAATGTGAAGAGACGAGTTGTCATAAGTGCTAACAAAATGGGTTATGTGATGAATTAATGTGATTGGACAGGGTAAGGTAAAGTTGGGTAGGGTAAGGTGGGGAGAAAATATGCAGGTAAATGGTGGTGATGATTGCATGTTGCTTACCTTACCACTATTACAACAATACGGATCATTTGAGAATAGCGATGAGAAAGAGAGAGAGAGAGAGAGAGAGAGAGGGAGAAGAGAAATATTTACATTGATAAATAGCAAGCATCTCATACTTTAATCATTTCGACCAGTTAGTTTATTAAATTTCTTCTGGCAAACAGGTTATTCTTGCTATACCTTTACCGTTACTCTCTTCTATTCTCTCCCTCTCTCTCTCTTTCTCTCTTACCATTAAAAAAGAAAGTCTTTTTTTTTCAAATTATTCTACATTTCTTTTTTTTTCATCAGTTAATTTTAAAGTAACTGACATTACACTGTTTTTACTGTTGCGCACTTTTGTTTGTCACCTACCGTATACTGGCTATAATAATCAATCCAAAATGAGGTTTATTGGTTGGTTTAAGAGATGTGAACTTATAACTTTTTGATATTTTGATGAACTCTCTTCGTTGAATAGAAAATAAGTTGATATGATTAAAAGAATAATGTTTAAGCAACACTCACTTAAATTGTTGCTAATAATTCAAATTCGAAAAAGCTTTAAATGTTCTTCTGAACTTTGTAATGGAAAATGTATGCGAAAGAGGAGAACAAACAGACATTGTTACCCAATTTGATGATAAAGTGATAAATAAATGATATGATTACATAAGTGTCAACAAATGACTGGCGACTGATAAAAGAGAAAAGAAAGGCTTTGGAAGTAAATTCTAAGATAGGAAAAATTTTTTCGAAATTCAAATGAAGTTAAATGTTTCCAGACAAAAATGTAATGACTGATGATAAGATGGTTTAATTGTGGAAATATGAAATGAGATTCTGTCGTACCGTAAAAGATGGAATGGTGAGGATAAAATGTTAATGATTCTGAACATGAAAATGTCATCCAATCTTTGGCAAATGTTGAAGAAAGAAAGAAAGAAAGAAGAAGGTGATTAAACTGTGTCCAAATTATATAATTTTTAAAATGTTTTTAAAAAATATTAAAACGAGTTGAAAAAATTTTTCTTCAGCGTTATAGGAAGGCAATTTCTTCAATCTTTATGAAGATGAAATGAAAGATTGAAGAAATAAATGTATCGTCGAGGGTGGAGTGGAAGGAAAGATATTTCATAAAACTGCAACTGAGAGTGAACGACAGAGAGAGGGAGAGAGAGAGGGAAAGACTGAAAGAGAAGAGAAAGAAAAAGAAGATGGATGATAATTTCCATCGGTACACAGCCAAAACAGAAACGAAACCGGTTCTAATTTAGTGAGGAAAACAATAATGATACAATGATGATGGGATGACTTCAATGGATGGATGGATGATGCTGTGTGGCAATTCTTTCTACCTCTTTCATTTTTCTTTCTCTCTCTCTTTCATATGTGAGAGAGAGAGAGAGGGAGAGAGGGAGAGAGAGAAATACGTAAAAAGAATTTGCTCGAATTTTTATTTGGTCTTGTGCATTTTATGCTTTTTGAGCAAATCTCGTCATCCTCATCCATTAACAAACATGTAAATTTATATTCATTTAGATTTGTACAACGATTTGTGTCAATGGAAAGGGGAGAAGTCTAATATGAATGAATGGAATACTCGACCGAAATTTTGATCAACCATAAAATGATGATTTGAAGTAATCATTGCAAATGGAGATAGTATTGTGTGTAAATAGAAATTATTAAAATTTATTTCCTCATCTTTAATTTGATTTGAATATGCTGAAACTTTCAATTGAATTGTTGTTAAATGAATTATTAAACTGGCCAATTTATCTTTTTATGCCTAAATTTAAATTTAGTTGATATTTAAAGCCTTTCAATTTATAAATTTTATAATTGAAAAAAAAGTTTTAACAGGTATATAAGTAGCAACGCTCAAAGTTGATAGGTTGGCATGATGGTAGATTTGATAGTGTAAAAGTAAGTGAATAACTTAAGAGGTTACAATTCAAAAATATCCTTATCATCATCTTCCATTTTATTTCATTTTCAAACTTAACGTGATGATAAATCATTTCAACCGGAAGTAAAATTAAATGTGATAGGAAGGTTTTTTTTTTCATTTTGAAATCGGAATTTAATTACATTGACCTTTAACCAAGTATCATTCCCATCTTCTACATATACACCATAACATTTTGTAACGTGTTACGAAGAGCTGGTTTGAACATCATTTCTCACAAATATTTTCGCATTTAAATCAAATGGTAATCGATGCATTTGCATTGATTGATATATTTAATTTTCACCATTTCCAAAAAAAAATATACAAAACTGGCACAAATTCAAATTAATGCATAGTATTAATGTAATTAACAGCAAAATGCACGAAATGACGAAATTTAAGTGAAATTTTTGGAAAGTGAAATCCTTCCTGAAATGTGAAATATTAAATTGAGCGTTTAGAGAAGATTACATAATAAAGAACAAAAGGAAACATTTCTCAGAAGTTGACACATTTCGAAGATCACATTGTAAGCAAAATTTTTTTTTGCTTTAAATATGCTAAAATGAATGAAGAAGTCATAAACTTAACTTTTATTACTTAATTGCTTAAAAATACATTTTCCATTCATCAAATTTGGACGAAAAAATTTCATTCCCACAAAATGCCTATGGATGGAATTAAACAAATAGGAAAGAAAATAATGATAATTTATGATGCTGAAATATTCGAAATGTTAAATTCTGTCATTTGATCTGCGAGAAACGGACAGAAAATCAAATGTCCGTCATTAACAGAAATAATTTATGGGAATATTAAATTAATTTCAGAACGAAAATTTAAATTATAAAACATCAAAAGTGTGAATATATAAAAGAAATTTTGTTGAAAGAAAATTTTATACAACAGTGGTTTATTATTTTAGAGAATGGAGAAATGGAAATAATGAGTTTGGAGAAATTGAAGATGAAGCAAATTAGGCAGATGCTACAGGACAGGTCAGCTCGATTTGAGTGCTGCCATGTTTTCGAAATGTCGAATGTCCATCAGTGACCTTATCACTAAGACGAATACGAATTGAACGTCCTTTGGAACCAAGCGTACATTGTAATTCTCCAACTGTTACTTTCAATTTTTTATTAAATTTCCTAAAATTTGATTGCTACTCTTTTTGGGAAATGTATTAAATTGGAAAAAGATTCAGTTTTAATTTAATTAATTTTTAGGCAGTATTGATTATTAATCGATATCTTCTGGTGTTATCAAACACAATAAGAGCAGATGTTAAATCAGCTGTGTACAAGATTTCAGTTTCAGTTCATGATGATTTTTAAAGCTCACTATTTTAACAGTTTAACAAGAAAAATTTATGTAATTAATATCAATAGTTGTAAAATTTCATTTTTTTAATTTGTAAAAAAATTTTTCCTTAAAAAATATAATTGAATGAAATCAAGTTTTGTTCAATTTTTGAATTATTGCGATTTAATCCTAATCAACAATTGCTGAACGATCCATCTTACTGATCGATCTGATCTTTTCGAATGTTTTAGGATTTGCGAATGATGGAACCGGTTCCTTATGAAATTGAATTTCTTTTTTCATTCTCATAATCTACACTCTTGCCTCCATGTGGGGAGGGGAAATATTGAAACTCTTATATGTTTTGAAGATTTTACTGATGATTTCGTTAATTTATGATATGTTTAGTATTTCGCCATTCTTTGCACCAAAACAAACCTCTCAAAATGAGCACACAAAACTCCGATCACTTCACCAACACGATCCTCATTTTTGTGATTGTACAGACAACCAATAAAATCATTGTTACCAAGATGAAAGATTAGCGTATTATCACTTTCTTTTGATACACTGACACCAGTAAGCTGTAAAATATTGTTCAGAATAATTATTTTACCTAAAACAAAAAAGAAAATCAAGATTTATTTAAATTAATATCTCGAGATATTCAATTTTAAATATTCGAAATTTTTACTATTTATGAAGTGTAAAGCTAATATGTTGCATTTTCAATTATATCAATTAAATTCACTATTAAATAAAGGTCAAAACTTTTCACATTTTGAAGTGGTTGCTGTTTCATTATTTTAAACTTTTTCGCATCCAATTTAGCAATGAATTGATCTGTTATTAAAAGAACACGAAATGCCGACTTATTGTATCGATTGAATTTCTGAAATTTTACAACTTGCATTAAAATCATCAAAGCAAACATTGACTTAATCTATTGTTGAAATAGAATGATGAAATCTTGTGTTAACAATAAATTAGCCCATACTTATTTCAAACAGACAACCAGGTAAAATAAGCCTGAAATTGAAGTCAGGTAAACAGTCCTGAAATTGTACCTGAATGTAGGAGGAGAAGAGAATTTTGGAAAAATTGCTATTTCGTCGTATATTATCCAGCTCCAGAAGATAATCATGCCTTTGACTGGGTGATTTAATCTCATCATCCTTCAAAATAAATATTAATGTAGATAAAATAAAAGAGAGTACTAATTTTTGCTTGTTTAAATTAAATGTCTAATTTGTAATTACAATGATAAAAAATGATTTACCTCACGTATTAAATCATTATTATGCTTTCTTCAAGTAACAGTATATTCTAATAGCAAAAAGATAGATTCATTCAATCATTTGTTAATTAAGTAATTAACCATATTTAAATAATCTCCTTCCCATGATCGTAAATAACCCCATTCGGAACGTTTATTCTCAACAGCATGAAAGGCAGCCACTTTTTCCTTCAGTGATTTCTTCAACACCAATGGCATTCGATCAACAATTTTGTTTGCACGCCAAATGGTGTATGTTTGTTTTAATTTGCTACCAAAACTTTCAAAACCACTCGGCGCAATCGGCCATTGAATGCCACTACCAAAGTCGCTCCTCTTTTCCACATCACTGAATAAATGTAAATTTTTCTTAAAATATAAATTATCATTTCACTCTCATCAAAATTTGCGGCTGATAGGAGAAAATGATGGATGTTTCAAATGGGTCAGTCAACTGACATTACTAATATAATTTTAATTCAAAATAAATCATTTTTTTGATCAATCATATATTCACCTTCAAGTATCATATATTTTTCACCTTCAAGTATCATATATTTTTTTGCTACGGAATATCATTTAATGGTAAAGTTATTATTTGCATATTAATTTAATCGCTAATCCGGATAATTATTTTTTAATTTATCTCTGCCTTAAACTATCTTTTATATTATTTCAAGCACTATTCCTTTATTTCCTTGAAATTTCACGTTTGGCGGAAGTTTTGATAAAAGAAAAATATACCGGAAACGTTCTACCAGTGTCATCAGATAATTTCGCAGCTTGTATTTTTGATAGCAATACATGATGGCGTATATTTGTTTTATGCGCTTAAAGCGATGCCTACCAAGCGTTCCTCTCCAATGCTATAATATATTCAAATTTAATTTGTTTTTTTGATTTCAGATATTTAACAAGAGAGGGTGGAAATCATTTATAAAGGCTAACAAAATTATCTTTGGCATCTGGCAGTGCGCCAATGTCTCATTAAGAAACAATGAATTATCAAAAACAGCAAAATATTTTGAAATTTTATACCCTCTGTAATATTATAACGATATCCGGCAGTTTTTGTTGACGTAAATCCTCCAATTTGAACACTGTTCGTGGGCTATGAATGAATAATTTTGTTTTGCCATTGACACAATCTTTGTGTAAATCAAACTTCTCCAATAATAAATTCGTATTTTCTCTTGCTAGGCCTTTAGATGGATTTGGCCAAGTTCTCGTTGAAAGCATTTTATATCTGTGATTAAAAGATTAAAATGATCTTGAAAAACAAAAACAGACTTTCAAATTTTACACATATTATTTAAATTTATTTTTTAAAAATTTCTCCCTTTTTGCAACCAAAAACTTGCCAATGATACTCTAAAACAAATTAAAATACAATCCTAAACTAATAATCAAATACTCATTAAGCGGTAAGCTCCAGTTATAATAAAGAAACATTTAATAGAAATTCGAACCTTTGTAGGAATCTCTCATACGTAATTCTGTATGCAAAACCTGCTCGTCGTACACGTACATTTTCCAATAATCCCAAATATCGAATCTAAAATTTGAATTTTATGTTGTAGAATGAATTATATATGTATGGAAGAGCTATTAATTTGTGTGTAATTTAAAAGGATTTCATTTTTGGACTTTTTATAATCAATTTAATAAGCAGTAAAGCAAAATGAAATAAAATAAATTAAAGAAATAGTTTAGCATAACCTGATGTCCAACATCTATTGTATCAAAAGAAGTACTCGATTTGATTTCATTTGGTTTGATGCAACGAATATAATGAGGTTCCTTGGCTGAAAGTTGTTGCACCAAATCCGACATCGAATTCTGAAATGTAAATGAAATATATATTTTAAAGCTGTTTCAAATAAATTAGAAAGGAGAAAATATTAAGAGATTCAAATTATATAGAAATATTACCTTGAATATTGTGCCAGCAGTTAATGGTTTCTTATTAACTTCCGTTACGGATTTTGCTCCATCCGGAAATATTTCTCGTAATACCGGATTATTGCTATAATTAAAAGTTGTTTAGAGGATTTCCGTCTGCTTAATTCGAATATTTTCCCATTTTTTTTTACTGCTACTAATACATTTGCAA